GAGGTCGGACGGGGAGTAGGGGGATAGGTAGGGAGAGGGGGAGGGGGGGGGGGGGCGGAAGGGGGGTGAGGGGGGGGGGGGGGGGGGGGGGGGGGGAGAATAGAAATTGTGTGTTTTGGCACACAGAAATTACAACAGTTTTGTCTTACAATTTATTGTCGTTTGTCTATTATTATTTTGTCATTGGTTCGCTCCATCGATGCTACACTGTGCAACCACGAGAAAGTGTGCGAATGAACCCAGTGAATCGACCAAATTCAAACGAAAATCTTTAGTGCGGTTTTCAAATTTATTCTAGTACCCCCCCCCCTCGCACTTTTCTTTTCTATTCCGTTGCGTTTCTTGTTATTTTTGTACTCAAGTAAAGCGCAATTTGCGTTTGAAATTTAATAGATTTGGCACACATTCGAAGAGACAACAAAAGAACGAATTGGCATAAGTCAGGCAGAAAATGTTGGTACTGATCTGTGGGAGTTTCTTGAAGCGAGAATTTAATGATTTGTCTGAGCATTTCGGCAGCTCTTTGGCCAGTTAATGTTGCATTTATTGGCGCTGTTTTGTACTAACATTTTGCCACTGGTGTTGGCTGTTTTTATTGGCACACAAAATTCTCAATTTTCAATTACATTTATTTCGTACTAACTTTTTTCCACTGGCCTACTTGCTTATTACTGAGGGAAAAGCTTGCAAAAGCTTCTGTCTCTCTCTCTCTCACTCTCTCTTTCGGGGCTTAACCTTTGTCTACCCCTTAGATTTAACTCTACCAAAATTTTGAGTGCATCAATCAGTTCTGTTTTTCCTGCCACAAAAATAAAGTGTAAAAAATAGGTACAAACTTTTTGCGCCATTTAATTTGCATTGAAAACAAAAAAATGTTTTGCATAAATAAATAAAATAAGACATAAAAAACGCACATGTTTCAATAAACAAAAGAGAGAGAGGGGGAGGGAGGGAGAGAACCCGATGTGAGTGAGCAAAATGTTATGAATGAATGAATGGAAAATGCGAATGTTCTGCAAATACCCAAAGCGAATAAACAACATTCGCAGATCTGCACTGATTTATTTTTGTTGCCATTTTGCAGGGGAAATGAATGCTGTCTGCGTGCAGTATTTGCAGGCAACATGTAGAAATGGGTGAGAAAAGATTTGCAGAGCGATTCCAATTCAAATGAAATCTCTTGGCATGCATAAACACTTTTTGTCTCCATTGTTAACTGATTTTATTTGTAATTTAATTGTTTATATTGTAATATTCAGCGCTTTCCTAATCGAATCACAAATCGATCGCTGCCGCAGAGCGCATTGGAAATTCAAGAGGCGTACTAACGGGGTAGTCGCGGTAGAGATCCCCCAGACAGTGGCCGTGCCCCACCATGCATATTAGATCAAATTATAGGCAAAAACATAAAAAGGCAACGACGCTACAAATTTGTCACGCCCCAGAGTCGGGTTGGGGTAGAGAGACAGTGATCGCGGGGGGGGCAGTCGGGGCAGCATTTGTTGTCTTGCCAAAGCTGGGGGTCGACCTATTCAATATGCCGACACACGCGCCAAACACCTCCTACGCAGGGGCGGTGCGGGGCCTGGGGCTGGGGTAACGTTTCGGGCTGCGGCGTAGAAGAGCCGCCGAAGCGGAATCTATCGCTCGACCCACTCGATGAGTGCTCGTCCATTGTTTTCGATCCGTTTGCTGCTCGCTGAACGATCTGTGTGTGTGGAAGCTTTGCAAAATGAATGACAGACAACCCAAAACCAGAGCCCAGACCACAGACCCCAGACCCCAGAGCCAGATACAGATACTCGCGTCCAGGCCCGGGGTCTCATGTGCTCGTCGCATGATATTCTGTGGCTCTCAAATGGGCATGGGGTAGCCGAGCATTGCTGCTGCTTGGATCCCATCTCCCATCGCAGCGCATTTGCCATTCGACTTTGGGTCTGCACATTACTTTTAATCACTCATCATATGGCTGTTGCTGGTCGCCAAAACTAATTTGCATATTAATACCCGCACACCCGAAGCCTGGCACTTATCTAACGCTTCGCAGACGACAGCCAGGCGGGCAGGCCCTGGGCCTACTGTTTTGCCCCATTCCAGGGTTGCATGCGCCACTCGGCCCTGTCTGGCCACACTGTAAAATGTGAAATGTGCGAGAGATAATGCAGGGTGCACGGGGTATATGGTTTGCTGTGTCATTAGGCGATTTCATTAGGTTCTTACGATCGCTATGAAAGACCCGCGAAAACTAGGAAATCCAACCGCAAATGGAAATATTTAGAGCTTTATTTTGGTACTCTTAAAAACTCAAACGCACTGGCGCATTTAGGCTGCTTTCTGATGCCAGAAAATAAAGCTAAATAAATATTTAAAAGTTTTTCTTTGGCTCTTATTTTTAGTGTTTAAAATTGATGTCAAACCTGACCATAAATCGATGAATTTCAGCCACAAAAAGTGCCTCCTCTGTGGTTCTTTCTGCTGCCAAATAAATATTTAAAATA